CCAAGCAGGTCAGCAAGCAATCAATCTCTTAGCAGGCCTCTTTTTTAGAAAGATCATCTTAATAAAGCCGATTGATGCCTCGGAATCCGTTATGCTATTCCATTTCTACATAGTAAATCTAATTTTTAACCTTGTTTTCGCTCAACTTTTTCTATTTGAAAAGTTTCTTGTACTCGATTCTTTCTGTTTCTAAAACTTAATAATGGTAAACCCGAAGAGGGTTGCAAAATTTTTTTGCAAATTTTGCAAATTTACGGGCAAATGAGCGCACAGATGGGGCGTTTTGATGTGGGAAGTTTCCGAGAGGCTTCTTTTAAAGATCAGAACAATCAGGAGAGAACGTTCCTGGTTCCACCAGGCTACAGAGTCGAAGTGAGTGAAGTGAGTGAGTTACGTTGTTGACCTGGTTCTCGAGAAGTCCCTAATCTTAACCGACCAGTCTTGGCTTTGTAAAGCATTTCTTTATTTTCTTGAATTTTGTCAGAACTATTTATAATATTTATGAAGTTAAACGAGAAGACAAAACGAACTGACTAAATGAATTCGGCACTGTTCGGTTTTACCTTGAGTCCAATCCAGCCAAAGAACTGGGTCTATTAATAGTTCACGTTTTAATCAAGGTCTGAACAAACCGACAAAAATGTTCTAACAGGGAAACCCTTTGAAGTTAGCTTTGTGGAGCGATCTGATTCCGAAATGCAAACACCCCCTGGTTAAGGCCATCATAAAACTGCTTTCAAATCTTACTTATCATAAGCCATTTTCGAGATATAAACCTTCAAAGTCTCGGTCACATTCGCTAAGCAGCAAGCTAGCCAACTTAAAGCCTTGATGCCCATATATCAATGTGCTTCAGCGGCCCAGTGAATAGTATGTTAGCGCGTCGGACCCGAATTTGTGTTCTTTGTCCCTGGTTCGAATCGTCTCGCTGGTAAAACTTTTTTGCTTCTTTATTAAGGTATAAAAATTGATTTTCAAGTGTTCTAAAGTCTTACAAACATTAATTAGCAATATTAGACTGCACGGCCGCTCATAAAGTTTGAACTTTGAGTTTTTTTACAGAATGAAAAATTTCAGATTATTAGGACATATCATTTTACAAATAATTTAATGGGGATTGCTTAAATGCGGGATTGAAAAAGGATTCCTGTATGTTAAGGCCATTACGAAAGCACCATACTTCGAAACTTGGCGAACATGCATTTACTCAGTCTCACAGTGAAACTCGCGAAAGTGACCGAGACTTAGAAGGCTTATATCTCGAAAATGGCTTATGATAAGTAAGATTTGAAAGCAGTTTTGGGATGGCCTTAACCAGGGGGTGTTTGCACCTCGGAATCAGATCACTCCACAAAGCTAACTTCAAAGGGTTTCCCTGTAAGCAAATGAGTCTGAAATAATCAACTGCTTTGAATGAATCATTCTGGAATGATCGAACTAAACAAAGTGTTATTTTAAGGGAATGACTGTCCAAAAGCTATCGCACGACGATGAAGACCTCATGTAGGTGAAGCAAGACTTGCTAGACCCGGCTCTTCGTTTCATTGTAGACAATTGTAGATTTCATTGTAAACTTCTGCTCCACGTGCCTTATAGTCCGGACCTGGCCCATCAGATTATTTTTTGTTTCGGTCGTTGAAGAGTTTTCTTATGGGAGAAAATTCGAGAATCATTTTGAAAAACTAAAAAACTTTTGAAATGAATTTGAGCAAAAATTCTAATTTGCTATCTAATTTGCTAGGCTCCACCTTCTTTTATTGACACTAAAAAAAGTTTATGTGAAAGAAAGTGCTCAAAGCGCTTCATCGAATGTTCATCACTTTTGGTTCTTCAACTTCTTGCCCACTAGAAACCTACAAATCTGTCAAAAGCCTGCTTTAGAGAGTAAATGAGCCTTTTTATTGGTAAAAACTGGAGAATTGGTGCAATAGTTATTTCTAAAATGAATAGGTGTACCAACTTTTTAGTTGCTAATCTAATAGTTCAAGGTTTAACTCACGATCGGAAAGAAGTGTCGAGTTACTTTTTCGCAATAAGGTTAGATGTTGTTAGATGTGTTAGACTAGTAGGTTAGATGTAACTTTTGTTATTCCTCGAGCAAGTTTCATTTTTCTACTAACTTTTTGCAAACTATTTCCTTCTACCATCTATCAGTATTCCTTTATCTAAGACACAATAAAACCACAAACTTTTAGATATTCGTGTGCAAAGTTGGACAGATATCTTGATGGGTACATTCGATTGTGGCGTGAGCTGCAAGTCTGTCAGATAACAAATCATAAAAACGTGCATTCCCTATAGTTGTGTAGTGAAACTTTTTATGGCTTCTAGATTGCAAAGTTTTACGAGTTTTACCCGGAATGGTCTGGGGAAAGCATTTCGCATATCTGGCTCGTATCAGAGGGATCGGGCATGACATTGAAGCAGTATTACGAGTTTGATTTCTTGAGCTGAATTATAGGGATTCCTTGAGTTGCAGAACTGCTAACGGCAAAAGGATCGATGTGAAAAAGTTGAGGATAATACTTGCTCAAATACTCGAGGCACTCAGCTACCTACACAAGAAAGGGATAATGCATCGGGTTAGTGAAAACATGAAAATACCGAATTGGATTCTCAAACTGATTAGGCTATTCGACCAGAAAACATTGGTCTTCAAGAAAACAACGATGGACTCGAACTTAGACTCTTTAACTTTGCTCGGTCCAGGTGGGAGAAGATTAGTCAAACTAATTTGTTGGAAAAATTTCAGAGAGGTGAGCGTGAAGAGCGATTACACAAAGAATGTCGACACACCGGATTTGTTTTTTTTCTTTTTATACTAAAATATTAATATTAAAGCAATATTAAATATTAAAATATAAAAACAGATGGTTGCCAAAAACAGACAAAAATGTATGATTTTTTTATGATCACCGGGGTGCGATTAATCCCCTCCCTTTAAGATAGGATGGAATGCCATTTTTTCAACGTAGCATGGGGTGAGAAACGAGTAAAATAGATAGTTCGATATTTTCTTAAAAACTAAAACCCTAGTACTATCTAACAATAAGTGGAAATCTGCAACATAAATGATTTCTATAAATTCTTGCCAAAAAAGAAGTGTTCTCAATTTTCTGGTGGATTTTTGCATTTTCTGGTGCACTCAATTCGTCATTTTCTCTTGGTGCCGCGAGGAAAATGATGAATGAGTGCGCCAGAGAGGGTGTGGTAATAAATTTCGGCACAAAGTACACCTTGGTCTTTGAATCGTTATTAATCTTTCAGAAAACCGAAGTGTCATCAAGGACGTGGTGAGAAATTCGAGCAAAGACTGGCTGAATTTTGAGCTGAAATGTTTACATTGTCGATTGGTTATTTCGAAGAATAAATGAACTATTGGGTTGGTGTATTGAAAACTGCGGGCTATTGTCATATGTGATAGTTTGAGCACTTTCTTCAAAAGAAACCCATTTTGGTGTCAATGGAAAAGTTGTAGAGAATCAAAAATCAAGCTTATATCCAAATTTTCAGAACGATTCAAAAACTGGTTTTCAAGAAATGCCCAATTTACGAATTTTCACAAAACTTGCATTTTAGGCGAAACTACTAAGTGTATCTTTTTGGAAATTTGGATATAAGCTTGATTTTTGATTCTCTACAACTTTTCCATTGACACCAAAATGGGTTTCTTTTGAAGAAAGTGCTCAAATTGGGACATTTCCAGTCCTCCATTTTTGAGTCTCACACTTGTCTCACACACGAACCAAAATCCTACTACGAAAGAGGAATCCGCAAATTGCCTGTAAAATGGGCAGAAGTCATCAATAATAATGGAAATTATTTGGAATGAATTGATGGTTTTATGTTGAATAAATTTTAGTTCAAAGTCCCGCAGCTTTCAATTCACCAACTCAATATTATTGTTTTAAACGTAGAAAATCTAAAACATTGCACAATTAGCGGATAGAGAAAAGCTCACCGAAAAATAATCGCCCCAATTTTCTTTTCTTTGACTTGAAGAGAGATGTTTGAGCAGAATAATAGATGCACGTGCAAGAACTGCAAAAACAGAAGCTTTTTTTCAGTTTTCTAAGCAATTCAAATTGTTTTTAAACTAGAATTTTCTTCCGCTCGCTAATAAATCGTTTTCTAAAATGTGACGACTTTCTAAAGCTACCGTAATCAATTTTTATAAAGCTCTCCCAAATTTCGAGCAGACTTGCTGACAAACCACTAGCTTCTTGCCTGACTTTATTTACCTGGCTCTGAAAAATCCATGAACTAAAAAGCTCAGAGATAACTTTTTATAAGAACAGCTAGCAAATGTCTAACTTATTTTATAAATATGAAATGTTATATAGAGATTTAAAGCCCGAAATCTTGGCTCCATTTACAGGGTGCAACGTTGAATAACGCAACGACTCGTTCTTTGATTTCCTCTGATAGATTGGAATGTATTGGCATTCTAAAACATATCAGAATTAGAAAAAAAATAGAAGGGCTTTGGACTCCAAACTTTTGGACCCAAAAGACCCAGAATATGAGGCAAAATTTTTGATTTGGAAAGCGTTGGAAAGCATGCTAGCCAAGGTAATGCTCTGAAAAAGCCATCTAACATTGACCAATTTACCATCTAGCAATTTTGCTAGACGAATTTAGCATTTAGCAACACAAAGTTCAATCCAGACTAGGAAAAATAGCATTATAAATATTTTTAAGTTCTGTTTACCTATTAAGAAGTGTATTCCAATCAAAAATTAGAGAAGTAGTCGAAAACATCGTATCGATTTTTGGAACCTTTGGCCCTCCACAAATTCTTCAGACAGGTAAGCTATTTTTAAAAATAAATCGGAATTTTTCATGAAATTTATTGCATTTTTGCATTTTTTGATGGGGCTATAGGAGGGAGGGGGGGGGGGGGGGGGGGTAAAATAAAAACTATAGCACCTTTTTTTATTTTTGCTTTTAGACAATGGCAGAGAGTTTGCAAATAAACTCTTGGAAGAAGCCGTCGCTCAATGGCCCGGTTGCAAGATCGTTCACGGGAAACCGCGCGATCACAAGGAAGTGTAGAACAAGCAAACGTGGATATCGAGGTTAGTTTGGCTGCTCATAAAAATACTTGTGGTCGTTTAGGATATCTTGAGCGTTCATCAAAGAGAAACAAAAACTACCGAATGGGCCCGATTTTTGCCCTTGATTCAATATCGTAAAAACATCAGGTAACTTTAGTTTTTTTGGAAATTTAAATTTTGTCGATAGATTTCATTCCGGTAGAAATTTCCTGAATTCGCAAATCAGAGGAATAATGACGCCGAATTTCAACTTGGGATTGTTGGTCCAATGCTTGATTTGCTTCTTAAAATATTTACTAAACATTATTTGGCTTTAGGTGTTCAAAAAGATGAGGAGCAAGCGGAAATCGATTGTCTACACGATTCGATTATGATGGAAAGACATGGAGCCCATTCTGCTCAGAGAATCAGGCACGAAAGATGCTTCACGCCAGTGAACAAAGGTACTTTTGCGTTTTCAATGTTTTCATTATGATTACTTCTAGATTTGCACCAATTGATGTTGGACAAAATGTTTTGATGCCAATTCCTTGTGTCGATCGACCCAAGATTGGACCACGAAATTTGATGGGAGTCGTCACAGGTACTTTTAAATTTATTTCTAAAGGTAAAAAGAAATTCTAGCCGTAACTGATGGTTTTTACTCGATCGGGAGACAAAATGGGCATCTTCGGCAAACATTCACTAGGAATCAACTGGCTCCATGTGGAGCTGAATTCTTCTCGATCAATTCAATTCCGGACGGGGAGACATCGTTGAGACCTGCTGTTGGGGCAGCATCGATCTCTGGGAGCCAAGGTAAGTACATTTATTTGCACTTATAATCTTGTTAATCTTTCTTTTTTCTTTTTCTTACAAATTCAAATGTTTTTACCTCAGCTAAAATATTATAATTTTAGGTCACGCTCATTGCTTGTGCCTGAGCGGATGTACGATAAATCGATGTGCTTCTCGAAAGAAGAGTCTACTTTTCAACTCAAGATGCCACCATGCAAGAAGTTTTACTAACAAGTGATCTTTTCGTTTCTTGTTTTGGCTCTTTTCAATTTCAGAATGACGCTTTCAGTAACATGCATTATGTGCGTAGTAAAAAGAGGTTTTGTTTAAGTTGATTGTTGTTTGACTTTGTTTTTCATTTAGTTTGTTTGTTATCTTGTATCTTGTATCTTGAAATTCAGTCAGTTGCTAACTAATTTTATTAATGTTGTTAATGGTTGTATTGCGGATAAAAATGAGTTTATGTCAATCAATCTTTTTAAAAAACTAGTTTTTGATAAAGGCTAACCAAGGCGCAACAATTGTGTAAGTATAGTTCAGTGTGCCAGATAGCTAGTGATTCTAGTTTTGTATCGTCCGCAAAACTGAAACCCCTTCTGAAAACCCTTCAATTCTTTTTGTTCCTTTCCATTTGAGTAAAAAGCTCAATAATTTATCTAAAGTTAAGAATTCATTTGATTGTTTTTTTGATTGTTTTTCTGATGATTTATGCCTAAATGTTTAACAAATTGTTCAAAATCGTTTAATATTTTCTCTTAATCTCAGCATCGAGCAGATCAATGTCAAAAGATAGTCTCGTGCGGCCGGCTTTCAAATCCTTCAACAGGGTGCAATTCTCCAACGAAACCGTTGTTGGAAGATCAGCTTCAGCATCAATTTCCATGGGCTCGCCCATCTAAATATTCAATATAAAACGCTCACCTAACGCTAATCAAATTCTTTAATTAAAGTGGAATGAATTCTAAATTTAAGCATTTTCTGTTGGAGTAACTTTGGGAGCAACGTTTAGAATTACTCACGGATGGTCGAAGAAACTTATGCTTGAGGCACACGTCAGCGGAGAGCCGCTTCTTTGGATCCACCAACAACATTTGAGTGATTAAATCGCAAAGTGAGTTCACTGGAAAAGCAGAATTAGGGAATCATTTTCAGAGAAATCTTTTTGCGATACTGTTTTATTTGAAATTTTCAAAAAACCCAATGGTACACAGAAGCTTTTTTTGAGAATTTTTTGCCACTATGCCTAGCTGATCTCCAAAATCTCGTTGAATAAACCTTCTTCTTCGTTTCCATTTACCAAGGTAATTTTTCTTTTCAAGTCGGCAGACAACGATCCTTCACGGCTAAAAGTCTGCTTTATAAGTTTACCAAGTGAAAAGTCTGACTTCAATTTAGATAGATCAGGCTGCACACCAAGAACTTCAAATATTCTGTCCAAAACTGCACATTCGCCGCCTCTTCTTCTCACCTAAAAATCTATTGTATATCCTTGTCTAAATGAATTTTGGAATGAATTTAGAGATCTTTTTAACACATTGACGATCAGCCGCTTTTCACAAAACTGCCGCCTGGGCCAGAGCGCTTTTATTAGTCAACCAGCGGAAAACGTTCACTTCATGGTGTTTCCCGCTTCCGCGGAGGCGGGGAATCCATTCGGGGTCTTCGGGACGGGTTCGCGGAACGTGCATAGTTTAAAGGAGCCATGTAAAGTACCTTCCGCTAATAATTATCTTGCTATTCCTTAAACCATGATTCTCGAGCGCTCTTCGAACACACTCAACCCGTTCCTGTTAGTTTTCTTTCTTTAAAATGACTAAAACTACCGTAACTCATGTTAAGCCGCGCCCCTTTTTTAAAAATGGACCTGAAAGGTAGATTTCAGAAGACCCCCGGAGCAAAATATTGCGCGCAAAAGCTGCATACTTTGCCTTTTAACCGATAGAGCGAACGCAATTACGGAACATCGCGTTTGCGCACAGACAGACAGACATACGGACGTGTCTTCTGCTTTTTATAGTAGATTACGACAAAAATTGGAATCCGGGGGTCTTTAGGGGCGCTCTATCCGAGTTCGACTTCAAATATATATTATTATAACCAAATGATACTGATTTTGGCAAAAATCACTTATAAAATAATAATTTTAATAATTTTAATAATAATTTCAATAATTTTTATAAAAACATGGAATTGGAAAAGATATATAACTTTAAAACAAAACAAAAATCGAATGCGAGGCTGTTCGCTACACCGAAAAAATTGCAATCGAAGTTGAGAGTATTTTCATTCCGGATAATATTCGTATCACATAAGTCCCAATTTGTTAAGGGTTTTCTTTTTTCTTTAGCAGTTATTTTATTCAGCATTCCGTTTTTGAAGCTAAGTAAATCGAACCTTATTTGCTACTTCGATTTCGTCTCCGGTTATCTGAAAAAGTTTCGGTCCAGGGAAAGCATCTAGAATCGTCAGTGCCGTCGACCAAATATCAATCTTCGAATCATAATTTTCATAATTCCGTAGTTGCTCAATGGTTTTGTAAAAATTCGGTGTGTCGACATTCTTTGAGTAATCGCTCTTCAAGCTCACCTCTCTGAAATTTTCCCAACAAATTTGTTTGACTAATCATCTCCCACCTGGACAGACCAAAGTTAAAGAGTTTGAGTACGAGTCGACCGTTGTTTTCTTGAACACCAATGTTTTCTGGTCGAATAGCCTGATCAGTTTGAGAATCCGTTCTTTATTTTCATGTTTTCACTAACCCGATGCATTATCCCTTTCTTGTGTAGGTAGCTGAGCGCCTCGAGTATTTGAGCAAGTATTATCCTCAACTTTTCCACATCGATCCCTTTGCCGTTAACGGCTCTGCAACTCAAGGAATCTCTATGATTTAGCTCAAGGAATCAAACTCGTAATACTGCTTCAATGTCATATCCGATCCCTCTGATACTAGCCAGATATGCGAAATGCTTTGCTCAGACCATTCCGGGAAAAACTCGTAAAACTTTGCAATCTAGAAGCCAAAAAAGTTTCACTATACAACTATAGGGAATGCACGTTTTTATGATTTGTCATCTGGCAGACTTGCAGCTCACGCCACAGCCGAATGTACCCATCAAGAGATTTGTCCAGCTTTTCACACGAATATCTAAAAGTTTGTGGTTTTACTGTGTCTTCTGTGTTAAAAAAGCGACACATCTAACACTACCAGTCTAACAAATTTAACAACATCTAACCTTATTGCGAAAAAGTAACTCGACGTTTCTTTCCGATCGCGAGTTAAACCTTGAACTATTAGATTGGCAACTTGAAAGTTGGTACACTTATTCATTGCACTTTTTGGAAACACCTAGTGCACCAATGAATCTACAGTTTTTACCAATAAAAAGGCTCACTCATTCTCTAAAACAGGCTTTGTACGGATTTAGAAAAGCTTCGGTTTTGTAGGTTTCTAGTGGCAAGAAGTTGAAGAGCCAAAAGAGCCAAAAATGATGAACATTCGATGAAGCGCTTTGAGCACTTTCTTTTACATAAACTCATTTTAGTGTCAATAAAAGAAGGTTGTTCGGAGCTTCTTCCGATAAAGTTTATTTCTCTTTGAAATCTATCGATCAATGTTCCCTCTGAATCATGCTTTTCTCCAAAATCTTCCCACGATTTCCCCAGCCATAAGCTAGCCAAAACATAGACATTTCTAAAACATTTCCCCTCAACTTTTCGGTATTTAAACCCTTCGGTGCTTTAATAAATATTCTGCCTGAACCAAGGGATAGAGACACATTCTATCCCGAACAAAGGTAGAGCATAGCAAATTAGATAAATAGCCAAATTTTCAGCTAGATCTAATCAATAGCTTTTGTTATAGTTCCATTCGAAGAATTTTTCCGAAAAACTTGAATTTTTGCTCAAATTCATCTCAAAAGTTACCCAAATTTATCTTAAATTATTAGGTTGAGGAAAAAGTAATGTCGGTTTTTGTCACAAAACTGTTTATTGCTAAAAACATACACAAACGTACATCAATCAATGAGATATTCTCCATCATTATTGATGACTTGTTCCCAACTTCGTCGCAAGTTCCTGATCCCATCTTCAAAAAAATGGGAAGTTTTCGAGCCAAAATAAGTGTCGACTGCTTTTTTGATCTGTGCATGATTCTCGAACTTTTCTCCCATAAGAAAACTCTTCAACGACCGAAACAAAAAAATAATCTGATGGGGCCAGGTCCGAACTATAAGGTGCGTGGGCCAGAAGTTCCCAATCAAGTTCGTCAATTTTTTGGTGAGTGATTTTTGCAGTGTGAGGTTTTGCATTATCACGCAAAAATAGCACTTTTGACGTCAACGCCCAATTTCTTTAAAGCCTCTTAACTCTCATCAACTGTTTTGAATAAAGATCAGCGGTGGCAATTTCTCCCGGATTTAACAACTCATAATACACCAAAACTTTTGTATTCCACCAACAGTAAAGCATAAGTTTCTTTCGATGAATATCGGGGTTTGAAGTTGGTTGTGGGGGTTGATTTTGAATATCGGTTGAATATCGGATTTTGAAGTTTGTTCGGGGGGTCTAGGGAAAGCCACTGATTTTTGCGCTTCACATTCTCATATTGAATCCATGTTTCATCAGATGTTAGAATTCTTCCCCAAAAATCATGAGATTTGCCTATTTGAAGCAGAGTAGAGCTAACAATAACACGAGTTGTTTTGTTGAAAAAATCGTAAAAGCAAAGAACTGGAAGATTGCCAACAACGGGAATGCAAAACCGACATTACTTTTTCCTCAACTTAATAGATAATATACAACTTTGATTTAGAGAAGTCTAATTCAATTGACGTATTAAATATGTTTTATGGAAAATACGAAAAAGTGCACCAACTTTCAAGTTGCCAATCTAATAGAAAAGAAAAGAAGCAACAACCTTTTGCAAGCCACCCGTTTCCAGCCCGGACTGGCTTTGTTATACTCTCCAACAAAGTTCACACCAATGTCGACGCACGGCAGGTAGAGAAAAGCGAAGCTAAAGAAAGTTAAAACATTTTCAAAGCTGTAATTTCTTACAGAGTATCGTAGTAGTCTTTGTGGGTGATCACTTGGAGTTCGATTGGATGTGATAAGCATTTGTGCATTTGATGAGCTTGATTTGGAAGTGTTTTATTCTAAAATAAAGTGTAATGAGTGATGGAAAGTCTCAATTACTTTGGAAGAAAAGTCTAAGCTAAAAGATAAGGACAACAAACTTGCGAGTATCCCTGTGGAATTCGGAAGTCTTGTCGTGATTCGTCTTTGCTTTTATAGAAAGCATTTATGTAGTTCTCGGGCTTGAATCTCTCGATTGGAGCTCTTTGATTAGGCATCTATAGAATGGATTCAAACTATTTATTCAATCAAAACTTACCGATTGTCGGTTTCCATTTGGTTCAATGTGAAAGTTGATTCTGGCAGTTGGTGTTTCTAACAATCTCCACAGAATAGCTTTGTTTCTCGCATTCTTCGACCTCCATGCCTTATCGTCCTTTGGCTGATCGAAGGAAAATTCTCGATCGTATCTTTTCTTAAAGAAGCTTTTCTCTTAAAAGAGTAAAATCTTTTTCTACATTAGCATCTGTGAGAGAAAAATGCTCCAGACATTCTTTTGCACTGAAGTAATTTGGTGGGGTCACGTTTTCATTCTTTGCGATCATTCTGTTGAGCAAGTCGTTTAGGCTGACGTCTAAAAAGTGCTTTGTTAATGCGAAGCTCTATGCAAACAGCTACCTAAAAGATTTTCGTTGTTTAGCATCTCCTTGACTAATTCGGCTGTTGCTATCAGATCTCTTTTTACTGAGACCTCATTTTTTCCGTCGCTGAATTTGTTTTTTCGCTGCAAGTATCGCAAATTAGCTTACCCCGAAACGTGATAACTGAGCAACTTTATCAAGTGCTTTTTTTCATTGATACCAAAACTTGATGAAGCGATGTTCTAGAGACTTTTCTTACAAAAATTAAATTATTGAATAGCATTACAGCATGCACGATCCCTTCGGTGTGAAGATATGAGAGTGCTTGAAGTATCTGAACAAGTATCCACGCAATGTTTCCAGACGAGAGTCTCTCATTCTTGTTACGTAGGTCCCTAAAAATATCATGAAGTGTCAATTTGTTTAATTTTTAGTACTCGAGGTACTGAGCCAGTGTCGATGGCATTCGTTCGGACACCAGGCAAATATGAGAGACGACACCGTCAGCATCGATCTCTGGGTACACTTCATAGTAGGTCACAATCTACAATCTCAATCTACGATCTACAATCTACAAATCTACAAAATCTACAAATTTTATTGAGAGCGTAGCGACAGGAAGAACGCAACACTCATATTTGGAGCGTGGTCCTTTCAAATCATTGTCAAATAAAGCATTCTAAAAAGTCTGCTTTTCATGTTTCATTCCAAAATTTTCAAGCATCATTAACTGAATAGCTTGAAATGTGACAACTTTATCAAGTGCTTTATTTGATTATTGAAGATTATTTGAAAAGAGCACACTCTACTCACATTGTTGTGCGCACGAAACCGGGCACTCTCAATCTCCTCGTTCAGCTGCCGGCATTTCCTGATCATTTCCCTTTTATCAGCATCAGCATTTCCTAGCTTAACTCTAAAATTTTCACATTTTGACATCAAATACCATGCAACAACCGTCTAATGTACACTTTTTTTAGGTCGAGTTCGAAATTTCCGCTTTTCATCGGAGCGTCGAATCTTTTGTTCTTGGTGATAAACGAGTTATCGAGAATGGCTTCGCTAAACTTCTTTATCTACAATGAAACGAAGAGCCGGATCTAGCAAGTCTTGCTTCACCTACATGAGGTCTTCATCGTCGTGCGATAGCTTTTGGACAGTATTCATTCCCTTAAAATAACACTTTGTTTAGTTCGATCATTCAAGAATGATTCATTTAAAGCAGTTGATTATTTCAGACTCATTTGCTTACAGGGAAACCCTTTGAAGTTAGCTTTGTGGAGTGATCTGATTCCCAGGTGGCAACACCTTCTGGTTAACGCCATTACAAAAGCGACATGCTTCGAAACTTGGCAAACATGCATTTACCCAGTCTCACAGTGAGACTCTTCCGTTTTTATTCTTAAGAATTATTTTTAACAAATTTGAATATTTTTAAATATTCTATTGTTCACAGGGTTCAACTATGCGAAAAAATATAAAAATTTGCAACACTTTAGAAACCAGACGTAAAAGTCGCTGGCTTTCATGGTGGCTAAAAATCTCTTCAATCAGATTTCAGGGAAAGAATTCGAACCAGGGACAAAGAAGACAAATTCGGGTCCAACGCGCTAACACACTATTCACTGGGCCACTGAAGAACATTGATATCTGGGCATCAAGGCTTTAAGTTGTCTAGCTTGCTGTTTAGCAAAACTGACCGAGACTTTGAAGGTTTATATCTCGAAAATGGCTTATGATAAGTTAGATTTGAAAGCAGTTTCGGGATGGCGTTAACCAGGGGGTGTTGGCACCTGGGAATCAGCTCACTCCACAAAGCTAACTTCAAAGGGCTTTTCTGTTAGAACATTTTTGTCGGTTTGTTCAGACATTGATTAAAACGTAAACTATTAATAGACCAGCTATTTGGCTCGATTGGATTCAAGGTAAAACCGAACAGTACCGAATTCCCTTAGTCAGTTCGTTTTGTCTTCTTGTTTAACATCATAAATATTATAAATAGTTCTGACAAAATCCAAGAAAATGAAGAAATTCTTTACAAAGCCCAGTCTGGTCAGTTAAGACTAGGGACTTCTCGAGAACCAGGTCAACAACGTGACTCACTGACTTCACTCACTTCAACTTTGTAGCCTGGTGGAACTCGGATCTTCTGATTGTTCTGATCTTTAAAAAGAGCCTCTTGAAAACTTCCCACATCAAAACGCCCCATCTGTGCGCTCGTTTGCCCGTAAATCTAAAATTTGCAACCCTCTTCGGGTTTACCATTATTAAGTTTTAGAAACAGAAAGAATCGAGTACAAGAAACTCTTGAAATAGAAGAAGTTGAGTGAAAACATGGTTAAAAATTAGGTTTATTATGTAGAAATGGAATAATAAAACGAATTCCAAGGCATCAACCGGCTTTATTAAGATGATCGTTCTAAAAAAGAGGTTTGCCAAGAGATTGAATGCTTGCTGACCTGCTTGGCTTGCTTGCTGAACTGCTGGGCTTGCTTGCTGACTTGCTTGGATTGCTTTAAGCATTCTTGTCATCTCTAACAAATGAGCAGCCATTTCGGTCATTCTTGTTTCCTGGAATTTACAGGCCTTAAAACAAAGTTGAGTCAAATGCATGTATCACTTTCAGAAAGGATTATGGTTTAATAGACTTCGATGCTTGTAACTAGAAAACAGGATATCTTATAATGTTAACAAAAGTTTTGAATCTAATAATTCGGTTACCATAGAACGATTCGTCGATTCGTCCCGTTTCCGCAACAATTCCTCCCATTCGTCACTTGGATTTGACTGAAATTAGACAATTTATCTAATATTTTAAAGGCGAAACTGACGTATAGATTTATTCGTTTTGGTTGAGCGTTTTTGTCCTCAATTTTCGTTGAACTTTTGTCTTTTGCAAAGTCAACAATGATCTTGTATTTGGCGTTTCGCATCAACTTCTCGTATATGATGCCTTGCATGAGTATCGAATCCAACTAGAATGACAACATCTATTGCTTTTGCATCAATAAACACACCTGCATTGACAACTTGTTAACCGTGGCCTCTTCCTTGATTTCGGCAACGTCGTCAACGGCCACGCCTGTGTACAGATTCATGAACAAAATCGTGATTGTCACCATGAAAAGCACGAAGACGATAAAGCTAACTATGCGGACCAACAGCATTTGAGGCGTTTCGACAGGCGTTTGGTCTGTCGGCAATGCCCTAAATAGGCTGTTTTTCCAAGAACAACTTTCCAAAACAATTTTCAAGAACAACTTATTCCGAATTTTTTGATCTATCAAAACTTACACGTCAGAACTTACACTTACACGAATAAATTGCTGAAATCGAATTCTCCCGTTGACATCACCGAGACCTTGACGAGAGAGATGAATAGATTCTCTAGCACATCCTCAAGTAACGGTATGGTTAGCGCGGAGAAGCCAAAAGTATGTACCTCATTTTGTAGGAGAAAGAAGAAACTGAATGCAAAGACAAAGAGCAGCCCAAGCAATAAAAGGGTGAGCCAAAGGCTGGACCGAGTCACTTTTTTGAACATCAAAATGTAGATTGCTAAATGGCTCCACGTGCTCAGCAGCATCAGCTGAAAACATGTGGATTTTTTTATATGTTCTTTTTGCTTGCTTTCGAAACTTATCGTAAATGCTCTATTAGAATGTCATTCTATTTTTTAGTCAATTTTCAACCCTCAAAATCGACCGATCCAAAAATAGGTAAGGGGGACCACATGAACCAAAAATTTAGAATTCGTTAAAAAAACTATTTTAAACGATGGCCCTTTGTCCAAAACGTACAAAAAACATGTTTAAAAGTAAAACTATTTTATCATTCGCGATCGCCTTTGAATCTCCAAAACAAGAAATCCATGTGGTCGACCCTAATCTTTTATTTTTTCAAAAATAGCATTTTAAAGGGGTATTCCGGCCCTAGAAGTGATTTTCTAGAATCACGACTATTTGTATACCAATCGATGCGTTCCTTTCGAAGGTACCCTCGCGAGTATAAGTTCTGTTTGGTTTTCGCATGCAAATTGACGGCTGTCTCCGGTGCGGTGTGTCGAGGGTTCGAACCCCGCTGCAGCTTTTTTGCTTTTTAAGAACAATAATAGAAGTAAATTTATTGAGGGTTATAGCAATTTTATGCTGTTATTTGTTGCTCCGGGCGTGGCTCGGCGCGTCCGCCCTGCTCCTCTCCGGTGCTCAGTCTTATGGATCCCTCCCTGGCCTCTTCATCTGGCCAAAGTCGACGTCGACGGTCGAAAGAGATGCTTTCCAGCGTCTTCTTCAACACTATCGTCTGGATGTATCCATGCACATAACAAATAGCAATGGTGATAGGCTGTCACCCTGTACTATCCCGCGCTCCAAGAACAATAATAAAAGTTTATATCGCAATAAAAACTCAACAAAAAGAAATTCAAAGCAATTAAAGTGAATGTAAATTAAGGCAGAACTTATACTCGAGACTTTAGGGTAATTCCTTGTGGTCAACTTGTAAATAATAGAACAAAATGTTCTTGAATTGGTGGATTCATTTTGAAGGAATTCCAGTTAAACTTTTCTGAGAACTTTCTTTCCAACTTAATAGATTGGATAAGAAGAGACAAGGTAGTTTTTGAAATAACACCTTTTAGAAAACGATTTTTCGAACTTTGGAAGATTGTTGGCTGAATATCCATACGTTTTATACTGTATTAACTTCAGCATTAAAAGATATTCAGTCATCTGAATGGATTTTATTAAAGTGACCTACCGTAAATACTGTAATTGGACCCCATGGGGTACTATTTTTTCCCTCCCCCTCTAGGGTGGGGTACTATTAGAGGGTGGGGCACTATTAGAGGGTGGGTCACTATTTTACACCACGGTTCAAGTTACCAAATCAGGATACATTCAAATAATATTTTCAAAAGCAAACTTTTTCTTTAGTTTTTATTGGTTTTAACCATTTGAAAATTTAACAGCAAAACGAAACAAAAACAACGAACAAGCGAAATCAATAGAAATATCCGAATCAATGAATTCATCATTTTCTTGATCATCAATTCCTCGATGTCCTTGAAGTCCCGTCGATGCGAGCGGCCCCAAGAGGTCCTCGATTTCCGTCTCTGATCTCTAACACCAACTTCTTTGGTTCCAACCACTTCGATGCACTTGCTCGTCGAAGCATCCAGCCAAACCGCCGTCTCATCGCAAGCAACAATGTGCTTGTAATCGCCTTCTTTGATTGTCTTGTTCAGCCTCAGAATGTGCTCGACGATGGCCTTCTCAAATTTGCTCGGCAGCTTTTGACAAGTTGTTGTTGGTGCCCTCAAAGAAAGTTGGTGACGCCTCAAGAACGACTCCATCCAGCCATGGGTTCTTTTGAAAGAAATTTCAGCTTTTTTGAATCGATTAGCCGCTTCATTCCAGATAATCCGGCGTGTCACTCGTTTCTTCTTGGCTCGACGATCCCGTATCCATTCAGCCAAACCGATATCAATCCCCTCCGAGTTCAAGTGGCTTCTAAGTGGTTCAAGTCTTCTAAGTGGGCCAATCTTTATGATTTTGGTGTTACTTTGTTGCACTTGTTGAGATCTACAATCATGAAGATTGGTCCACTTAGAAGAAAGTTATGGCGAGCTGTGCAAAAAATTTGGCGCAAAGTAGCCACCCCAAATTTAAAAACAACAAATTTATGGGATAAAATTAAAAATACAAACGATTTCTGAAAATACATGAAAATTTTCCGCTTTAAAAGAGTTGTTTGTAATTACGCGTTAGGTGGGGGTGGGGTACTATTAGAGGGGTGGGGTCCAATTACAGTATTTACTATTTACGGTAGTAAAAATGAGTGAATTCGAAAAGAGAAAAGGAAAAAAATTAAAAACTCCCACTACATTTATAAATTTTTGACTTTTTTTTTTACATGTACGTTTTAGATTTGAAATGTCCAAGAACAAATGAAAACGCGGATTTCATTCCTATCAACCTAATACTTCAGCTAAAACTGTTTTTTTAAAATATTGGGTTGTCCAATTATGAATGCGCGTTTTTACTATTTTGTAAATTTCTCAAGATACCGAAATCAAGAAAAAGATATATATGAGTATTATTCGAAAGCTGAAGATCTCCTCTACATTTTGATATAAAAAGCTTTGGAATTCATTCAACTTTTTGGGAAATTGACTGCACAAAGGGAGAGGTCTTTTTCGAAAAAACCCATTTCAGCTTAGCTATTCCTCAAGTTTTATGCTGTAAAATAACCGCCCAGAAAAGAAAAGAAAAGTAAAGATGCTCTGAAATTGTTATATTTAAAAAAAAGTTGTTTTAATGTATCTATTGGCCAAACATCAAACGGTTAACTCAATTTGAGCGAAGCCAAAACTTGATCCAAAGGCACCCTTCCATTTTTTTGGCCACCTCTTCTTCTGTGCAGTCAATTTGCCCAAAAGCTGGACAAATTCAAAAGCTTTTTATATCAAAATGTAGAGGAGATCTTCAGCTTTCGAATAATACTCATATATATCTTTTTCTTGATTTCGGTACCTTGAGAAATTTACAAAATAGTAAAAAACGCGCATTCATCACTGGACAACCCAATATTAACACTAACCAGATTGAATGCCAGTCCAAGAAAAGACAGCACAGCGATCGGCCAGAACAATGGTAAAAAATCGTAATACAAAAAATTGTATTTTTTTCCTTGAAAGTGCTGAAAGATTTCTCTGAAGTAAATTTTTTTGGTCTCATTTTTCCTACCTCATCAATCCTCCAAACGATGATGATAGAAGAAGGCAAGAGCACAAACAGCTCGATCAAATTGCCCCCTAAAATGTGATTTACTCCATTACTGATTAAAAAGAAGAAAAGCACGTACTTTTCCAGTAAAGAGCGCGAGTTTGCGACCATTGGTAGAACTGAAATTTATTTAAAAAAATGTAATTTGTTCTGTTTCATTGACCTCTTTTATTAATAAGTAGATAACAAGAATAACTAGAAGCAGCAGAACAATAGCCGAAATTATTGGATAAAAACTCTAAAAGTAATCCTTGTTTTTATTCAAATGTTTCTCCACCTCGAATGGGCCGGAACGCTCTCGAATAAAATTCGATTTTGATTTTGATATCTGCTCCTGCAAAAAGAGTTTTTTGTTTTGTTTTGAAAAACAACTACCGTAAATACTGTAATAGTACCCCACCCCCATAATGACGGTGCGGAGCGTTGCGTAGTCTAGCTTTGGACGCGTTTTTCTCGACACTGGTTTATGCTACAATGCGCGCTTAGGTATCAAAAAATAGCTGAAATTCAGGGTTATTTTTTGATATTAATGGCGCATTTTTTGAAAGTACGGGTGCTTTGCAAAAAATGAAATACTAAAAGACTTTTGCGACTACGCGACTGTACGAGGGGTGGGGTACTATTACAGTATTTACGGTAGGAATTAATTTTTTTACTTGAGGGGTGGTGTTTCCCGTTTCGTTTCCTTCAATCATTTGCTCTGAACTTTTTTTTGTTGTACAACTGTTGAGCGTTATGACAAAAGTTGAGCTTTATGTCAATTTGAATTCTTTCTGCACCTTTTTTCTAGCAGTTGACCTTTTAAATTAGATTTTTGTTTTACGTTTACTGTTCTGTGACTTAAACACTAAGTACTAAAGAAGTAGAACCTTTTGACGGAACAAATTGATCGCCGAGCATAAAAGCAAACATGAGGAAATAGCAAACGAAGAAAAGGCAAAATGGTAGGAAGGCTGGAAACTCTTGAAATTAACTATTTTCTCACAAGAAACTTACAAAAAAGTAAGTAGTTTTTTCGCGCACCATTTGTCCAACGATACTCAAGAAAAGTGGTGACCAACTCATGCTCCAGCAACTTCCTTGTCTCTTTTCTCCGTGCTTTCGCCTAATGATGATAAAAAGCGTAATGTAACCAGAAAAGAAAGAACCATCAGTCTTAGTGGGTGTTCTTCCATTAGTCGCGTCCTCTTCTTAGCTTTGTCATCAAAGAAGCAAATCGCTTTATCGATGACAGAGCCATCGCTGCTGTAGCCGGCTTTGAGAATCTCTTGTCCATCTGTATTTCGATAAAAACCCTATTGTTTTTCTCATCTCACCAATCTCTTGCTCGAGAACGTATGAATCGTCTATCAGAGTAAAATCGTAGTAGATCTCCTTCTTAACCTTGTCTCTAAATTTGAACATTTGACATTCATCTGGGAAGTTGGAAATCTCACGGATCGATGCACTTGTTCATAACATCCGCCGCCAATTTGGGAAATTTTTCGATTAGCAGTCGCATTGGTGTCACAAGTTTCCTCTTTTCTTCAGAGATCTCCACTCGTTTGGTCTAAATTGCCATAGATTGATTGCCCAATTAAAAATAATGCCATAGATTGATTTTTTACATCAAAAAAAACAACCTTTGAGGAATCAATTTCAATCGTTTTCGTTTCATCAGAGTCGACGAATTTTTTCGACGAAAGTTTTGCATTGGTGTCACAAGAATCGACGAATTTTATTTTGTCCATTAGAAGACGCCAATCTTTGTGTGATAAAAGCTCTTTGGCTACATCTCTTAAACTTATTTTGTTATTCAATAATCATTAAAATATTCGGAATCTGAATGATAGGCCTCACTCATTGTTTTCTTCAATTGCAATGTCAAGAGCCGTTCTCTTCGTTTCGTCGTTTGTGATCTTGGCTAAATTTCACAAGTTGTGTTCAGATTCAGAGTTCAATACCAAGATCGATTTTTCCATTTGCGGAATCGAGGAGATATTTCACACTTTCTACTTTGCCACTGACTGCTGCATAGTGCAGTGGAGACATTCTGAAATTTCGTCAACAAGAATTGTTTTGGCGACTCTCTGCACGAACTTGCATTCACTCTCTCCGTTGACACTGCAGTACTTTCGAAGAACTTCAGCACTGTTCAAGCTGCCCATCTGAAGTGATTCCTGGTCAGAAGTTTCTGTCACTTACCAACCATTATTGCTAAATCAAAAGGAGTCATCCCATCGGCTCGAGCATACGGGTTGGCTCCTTTCCGGAGAAGGACCTCACAGATTTTAGCATGATCTAAGAAAAGTTTTTATTCTGTTATTCTGTCTGTTTTTATTCTGTCTGTTTTATTTATTCTGTTAAGAAAGAGTTTACAAAAAAACCATTTCTAGCAGCAACATGAAGTGGCGTTTGATTTCCAGCAGCCGTCGCATTGAGGATTTGACGAACTACTTTCTTTTTCAACAGTTCCTCAACCTAAATATATTCTTGCTCAAGTTGTGCTCTCACACATATACCACGTTAAGACATCCACTCCTTGCAGCGAAATGCAACACCGACTCTCCGTTCTCATTCTCTTCTTCCAAGATTTCATCCTAAAGTACTAAATAGTTTTACTTTATTTTGTTTGATACCAATTTTGTAGGGCTTCCAAGAGTATTTCCTTGAAGCAACTCCTGAAATTCGTGTTATATATGATTCTAGCTGAAAAACATAGAAACCATTTACTTGTAACCCCTCTATTGAGCCACACTGAATAGCTTTCTGGATTGCACTTGTATGGCTTGCATCGAAACTAAAAGATTCTATCTTTACTGATAATGATTGCTATTTACGCATCGCAGTCGACATCTTTTTCCATTTTCCCGATCAATTTCTAAACTGAGAGTGTAGAGAAAGCAGAAAAGTTCAATGATCTACTGTAATATACGTCGGATGATTGTAGGCGAAGGCGATTGCCAACAAATTCTCTCGTTGATCATTCTCTTCAAAACACAACGCTTTGGCAGAGATTCCGCAGTCGATTCCGTAATCGAGAAACACCTGCAATGAATTTTTCATTCTCGTTTTTTTGGCTCACCCCTTACCACAGCACTTTCCCAAGCGTTCACTTGTGCGGTCAAGTGAAGCGGAGTCATTCCTTGGTTGTTTTTACAGAACAAATTCTTAGCGTTCTCAAATTAGTCATAAAGTTTTTAGGAGCGACAAGAGTGACTTACGAGCTCAATTAGTTTTGAGATTATGGCCGCTTGATCGGCTCTGGCGGCGTAATGGGCTGGGGTCTCACCGTCGTACTTTTCATCGACTTCGTAGCATAACTGAAACGAAAATAGAAACATCAATAGAGAATGGCATTCAAATTCAATGCGATTACAGGAAATCAGAGTTTAGAATTTGCGCGCCTCATAATTAGATCGTTAGATACAGTCCCTTGCAAAATGATAGGACCAGCCTCGATTTTTGCGATTTTTGATTTTAAATAGCTAAAAATGCAAAATGATGCTTAAATTCGAATTTTATATACAAAACTACGCCCAAATACTGTTTGCCAAATAATTTGCTTTAAAAGGCAAAATTTTTTATTGAAAGGATGCTTTCATTTCTGTATTTTACACCTGTTGCAAAATGATAGGACCACTGGGTTTCTTTTTGATTTTCTACCTATAATAACCATGTATTTTGCTTACTATTTGCTAATTTTTATTCTTTAGAAAGATGGGGCGTGGAAAATCGCTTTCGCGGATTGAACAGATGAAAATTTTGATTTTGAAAGGAAGAAAGTTGTCGAATCGGAAGTTCGCAAAAAAATAAAGCGCTCGCACCAAGTTGTCTCAAATTTATTGAAGAATCCTTTCAAGTATGGCAAGAAAAAGTCTCCGGGACGCCATCGAAAGCTCATGGTCCGCGCTGAACGGCATATGGGACGCCTGTTGTCGAATTCGGTGATGTCTCTACAGAACATCAAGGTACACATTGGAGCTCCCGTTCACAAAAGCACTCTTTCTCGAGACATCAGGTGTTACATGCGTTACATCAAAAGAGCAGTCATGAAGCTTACTTTTTGCTAATTTTTATTCTTTAGGAAGATGGGGTGTGGAAAATCGCTTTCGCGGATCGAACAGATGAAAATTTTGATTTTGTTAAAATTAGAGATAATAAGGTCTTTGAATCTTTTAACCGTTCGCAAATGGCTCGCATTTGGACCAAGAGATACAAAGAATAAGCTTCTAAAAACCAATGTTAAAAGACTTTTGTCCATGACTGTATAAGGAGTGATGGAATGGCGAATTTGAGGGCATATTTAGGGAAAGTACCGGAAATTCACAAATGATTGAGAAACTCTGGGGATCTGCAAAGTGGCGCAATAAGAAGCATCATGGGACGGACCGACACCACCTCTCTTCATCACCACCACTTCTTAATGGCGAATTTGCGGGAATATTTAGGGAAAGTACCGGAAATCCCTTTTATTTCACAATAGATTTTTTTTCAGTTTTCGTTGCATAATATTCTAATGAAAGAGGAAAAGTTTGTGAAAAAAAACGAATATTTTTTTATAGTAGAATCTTTGATATTAGTAGATAGTTTATAACCTAAGAATTACAATTCAAAAATGAATGGATTTGAATCGGAATAGCAAATTCTAATAAAAGTGAGATGGTTTTTAGAAGAAAGTCTATGATAAGTCCGAATATTTTTCATATTTTCAAACTTCCCAAGTATGTATTCATTGATTTTCTAGATATAAAGAGGTTGCAGAATACCTCTTTTAATAATATGTACAAGTTATTGTAACCAAAGTTGTTGTAACCGATATTCTGGAAAAGTCATTCGACTTTCGCCGTGGGATTACCTTATCACGGAGCGCAACGAACGAATCAACATTTCCGACACTGGCAGCAAGGTGTAGCAGGTGTCCGTTGTCTCTAAACAATTCCCTCTAATCAATTGGACGTTTTGCAAACTTTCTAATCTTCTTTTTTTTCACAAAATCAACTGCTGACGAAGTGATATCCACGTTTTCGCGATTCTGACAAAGCCCAACGCACATTCTAAACACTTTCTTTACAGGCAACTACAGTCGACGCTCGATATTAAATCATTGAAGGGATTCTCCAAAAATGATTTATTATCGAGAGTTTTGCTTAATCAGTTCTAAAAACATCAAAAACATTGTGAATAAGCTGATAAATACCATTTTTTGGTTTTAACACGACGTTTAAATGCCTAAACACTATCAAGTGATTTGCTATCGAGCGTCGACTGTATCTTTTCAGCATACTTTGCAACGATTTCCGAGAAGCCCCTCTGGACGAGAATTTTCAGCGGGGTGACACCGTCGTTGTTTTGGACATTTGCTTCCCACCATTTATCTGAAAGCAGTGATCATTTCTGTTTAAAAAGAGAACTGGCTTACCGAAACTTTCGAAATCAGCAGCAATGCTTCGCTCAGATCTGGCAAGATAGTGTAGAAATGTGTTGCCATAGCGATCCGGTTGCAAGCTATCCTCGAACAACGCCTTATGTTTTAGAAAAAGCGTGTACTAAACGGATGGTTCAATGTTTTTCTCAAGCAATGAGATTTTTCTCAAAAAACCCACAACTTTTTTTGACTTCTGTGCACAAGCCACCACAAAGGGCGTTCTCTTCTTAAGATCCACTTTCTGAACAGAATTTACAACTATTTGATATCATTTTCTTAACTTGAAACAACATTTTTGTCGCGTATATATTTCCTTGCTCTAAAAAGTGTTCAATCAGAGCCTCAGCAGCGCCAAAATTATTCCAGTAAGCCGCACAATGCAAAGGGGTCATGCCAAAAGCGTCGACGGCTTCCGTTTCACTAAAGCTTTTTTTGTTGAAAAGATATCTTTGAGCTGAAATAAAACCCCTTCTTCTCTATCAGCATTTCGACGATTTCTCTTGGAGTCATGTAATCTGAAATAACAATGCCACAATGCCATTAAACACTTTAGATTTTCGTTACCGTTTGTTGATTGAAGTGAGGCTGCAAAATGAAGCGGTGTCCTTCTTTTTTTCGTTCTTGCATTCGCGATTTTTTTTCTATAAGTTAGACATTTGCAACGGGCTCAATACTTTGGACTCAAAAGTTCAGCTCCCACGTTTGCTCTTCGTCTTTATCCTGAAAGATTTCCATCATTTGTTTGATAATTTTGCCAGTGATAGTGTCCCCGGAATCATAGTTTTGAATGACTTTGTGAAGAGGCGATAGCTGAAGAATTTTGCACTGATTACTTTGTTCGTTGATCTCACCTGGTCGTCGTTCTCTTCCATTTGGGCTTCTGGCGGTTCCTCTTCATTTGACAATGAGTTAGCTGGATCACCTTTAAGAAAAACAATTCAAAGACCAAGCTTTGACGGAGTTCCCTAGATTTATCCCATAAGTCACCTGCACTTATTGATGACTGATTTCGATCGAGACGCTGAAGAAGAGGGAACGAGGAACCTTTAACAATAACTTCAGGCATCGAATAACACATTTTTGCCCCAAAATAGCCCAAGCGTTACGGTAGACCTTAGATGAATAGAAATACAAATAAACGATGAAATAGTTAGCGATCGTTTTCCTTTATGCAATTTTTTTTCCTGTTTACCTTATCGATAGGGGACAGTTTTTTCCCAAAGGGGAAATTCATTCTGCACTAGAATTGCTTATCGAGATTATCGATACAAACGGCATGCTCATGTTTGACCGTTCAGATCTCAGTTTCTTGAACATTTGGGTTTGATTGGCAAACCAAGAATGTCAGCTTTTGATTGCTATTTTGTACATAGCGACTTTTAATGAGTAAGCACCTCACAAACCTTATGATACTTATCGATATCGAAAGTATCGATTATCGATTAGCAATCCTTATCGATATTTGAGTATTGATAAGTATTGTTAAGCTTTTTAAGGCACTCACTTAGCAGAATTTGCTATGTGTGAGATAGCAATCCAAAGCTGACATTCTTAACTTTCCAATGAAACAATTTGCAGATTGATAGATGTTCTAGAAACCGAGATCTAAACCGTCAAATATGAAAATGCCGTTTGTATCGATAATATCAATAAGCAATTCTATTCTGCATCCTCTTTTGCTCGCACTTTTCCACCAGAATAATGGCAATTGCCCCAACATGACGATTTGACATTAGTTTATTTTTCGAGTCTATTTTTTTAAAAAGAAAGTTTTTTGGCAATGCATTGATTTGTGATTTGTGGCTGCAATTTCTTTGCGAAACAAATGCATGAATCGAAAGATTCAGAAATTTCGTGAGAATTAAAAAGTATAACAATTCAAATTTACAGTCATCTGCAAAAGTCTTTTCACATTCAATTTTCTAAAAAGTTTCATCAATTTTTTTTTTGATAAAGTTCATGGCTATCTTTAAGCTATTAATAGTTTTAGTTACATAAATATAGGTACAATTTATTTACACAAACGTTATCGCTATACAACACTTATTCATCGAGAAAAAAAATATAATTGTCAAAGCACCCCGGAAAATCGTGGTGCAAAAGTCTTTTCACACAAAACGAAATTAAGCTTTAATCAATATTTAGTCATTCCTTCTTTTGCCAAAAGTACTTCTTTAATACGAGTAAGCATCGATGCAATTAACTCATCCAGAATTCCCGCTCCAATCATCCTCCAAATTTTTCTGATGTGAAACCATAGCTCGATTTAAGAATTGAATCGTTTTCCGCCCAATTTCGATTTCAAATAGGCTCGTTAATTCTCGATAACATTTAAATCCGGTGAGAATGATGGAGATTTGATCAAAGACACATGATTGATCCCAAACCATCCCGGTAAATGTGCTTTTCCTCCATTTGAGAGAGTCACAACGCGGGCCATCCAAAGTTTGCTTTTGTATACTGACGAATTATCTTGATAAAGAAACCATCCTGGATTCATCGAAGCAGTCGCAAATGGAAGTAGACATCTGTCCAATATCTCAATATATTGGTGGGAAATTATTTTTGACTTTACGTGGACAAGCGGATCCGTTGAACTTTTACACATCGCACCTAAAGAAATCACGTTGGGCTGCATAAAAACAAAATTATCCTTACCGAAACACATAATTGATCCTCCGCCTCTTTTCACCGTAGGATGCAGGTACTTGAGTT